GAAGACCCCGTCGCCGTCGCCGCCTTCGCCGCCGTCGCCGTCACCATCGGTCAGATGAGGACAGGGTGTTGATATAGTTTTTGCCGTTTCGGGCCTCGCCCTATAGCCCTATAGCCCAATAGCCCAATAGCCCTATAGCCCTATGGCTGTATAGCCCTATAGCTGTATAGCCCCATAGCTCAATAGCCCTATAGCCCTATAGCCCCCTAGCCCTATAGCCCTGATTGTTTTTTTTTCTCGGTATCATGTAGTTTTTGCCCTTTCGGGCCTCTTGGGAGGCCCTCGCCGCCACGGTTGGATTTGCTTCGACGCCCCGGGAGAGGTCTGGGTGGTAGCGGTATTGGTATCTTTTGGTTTCCCCAGTCGCCGTCGCCGGGAGGAGGAGGAGGAGGAGGAGGAGGAGGAGGAGGAGGAGGAGGAGGAGGAGGAAGAAGGGCGAAGGGCGGCTGAACAGCTCACGTCCTGCCGCTTGCCGCATGCAACCCTTGGTGGCGGAGCCCGAAGGGACCGAAGACAACGTTCGGCCCATTTCGGGTCCATTTCAATGCGAATCCAATCTTCGCACTGCCCGCGCACATTCGTGCGCAAACGCCCGCCTGCGCCGCATATCGTTCCTGGGAGCCTCCCCCACCGCCACTATCCCAGGGTCTCGCACGAGGTGGCGTGGCGACTCGTGGAGTGTTCAGTGCGGGCCGCAGGCGGCGCGAAGAGGGGCGCGAAGGCAGCGTCCGGCCCCTCCCCCTCCACCTTCGCGAAACGGACCTCACATATTTCACCTGGTGATTCGGATGCCACTTCTTCCCAGACGCCACTCCCAGCTCACCATGCCATCGCCTTCCACCACACTCTAGCCGTCAGCGCCGCCTCGCGCACCCGGGGGTGGGACTTGGGTCTTCGAGTGGAGGGGAGAGGTGGAGCAGGACGAGAAGGGAGCGAAGACTAACTATTGACGCCCCACTCTCTGGGGACCCCCCCCGCCCCCTCTCAGGTGCGCCGTCATTGCAGGGACCTCGCGGTCGGATTCAGTATCCCTTGCGGGAGAACTTCTCGCCACTTACGGCGGGGGGGGGCGCTTGGGGGGGGCTCCCTGGTTCGTCGGGACCTCCCCTCCCTCTTCCTCCACTCCTCGTCGTGCCTGCTACCCTTCGCTCCTCTTCGCCTTCCCCGCTCCTCCTCCTCTGCTATTTGGCCTCTCGGGTCGCCCCCGTCCGTCGTGCTCCCTCCTCTCTTGGGGCCCCCCTCTTTCGGCGAACTGCCTATTCTCAAAACCGCCTCACCGGGCTCCCGGCTTATGGCGGAGGAGGAGGAGGAGGCGGAGGAGGAGGAGGCGGAGGAGGAGGAGAAAGGCTTCCGCGTGCTCCCGCAGGTTATGAGCCTGGCGTGATGCCCTAGATGGATTTCAGAAGAGATGGCGATCGATGCAAAAGACATCCCGATTCCCGACTTCGATTCCGATCCCGATCCCGCGGACGAATCTGTTCTCCAGATCGTGATCATGATCGCGGCGATCGTGGTGATCCAGTTTCGCAAAAGCTTCACACACCTTTGACACAAACTACTTTTCCTGTGACGGACAGTCGTGACGCTGAGCCACGTCCGACCGGAAGCACAGTTCCTGGAGGGTACCCTGCAACGCCACCAAGACCAATACATTTTGGAAATACTTTACGTGCACGGACAGTCGCGATGTTGCGCCACGTCCGACTAGAAGTGTTGTGCGCGGGCAAGAGCAAGAACAGCAACCAGGGAAAATGCCACGCCCTCAGGACCGCTATAAAGGGGGCACCAGCGACCACGCAAGGGACCACGGCTGCAACGGACGCAAACGCCTTCCTCATGGCCCGGTTGGGGGAGAGCTAGCCTAGCCGACGTCGCCAGGGAAATGTCGACTGTCCGCTCGGGCGGTGGCGGCGGCAACGGCCGCGCCAAACACCCCCTGCCAGCAATCCCTCCTCCTCCTCCTGCTCCTCCTGCTCCTCCTCCTCCTCCTCCTCCTCCTCCTCCTCTCCTCCTCCTCCTCCTCCTCCTCCTCCTCCTCCTCCTCCTCCTCCTCCTCCTCCTCCTCACGACCGCGCTCCCTAGCGTAAAGGCCTGGAGGACGTGTCTCCAGACGAAGGTGTTTGGTTGGTGCGGTTTGCGCGCCGATGGTTTCGCTGACACTGTCCGGGCGGTCTTGGAGGAGCCGTGCCTGGACGTGGGGCTTGTGCATCACAGCCCACGTGCCGCCAAAACGAATAAGGCGCTGGCGTTTGAGATCTGCAGCGCAGCTGATGACGACCTGAGTCTTTCCTTCGTGCGCATGGACCACATCGACGGCATCGCGATGCTCGCCGCGCTCACGAAGGCCGATTTTGGCCTCGAGCTCCGCTCGCGTCGAATCTCTCCACGAACGGTTCACAGACCCAGAGCCAGTGACGGACAAGAGCAAGCTACAGCGCGCTTTGCGGTTGTGGCGGGCGGAGTTCGGCGAGTTGAATGCCGCCGGATCCGCGCCTTCCCAGCAAACCACGCTACGTTCTTGGAGGCGTCTGATCGGCAAGATCGATGCGTTGAGAACTCACTTGGAGGTGGTAACTCTCGCGAGGCCCAACGACCCAGGCGCCATCTTGCAGGCGGCGGAGCAAAAGGCTGGAGAGTGGGCCGCTTCCGTGCCACCGCGCCCTTCGCAACGCGCGAGGGTTCCTGCGAACGAGGCGCGGGCTGGCCGGGAGGGCAAGGACAAGGGCAGAAACAAGGACAATAACAAGGGCAAAGGCACAGGTGAGGCATGAATTCCATGTTCGTTCTACCTCAGCGGATACTGCCGCTGGGGCAACAACTGCAAATTCCGCCATGTTACGCAGCTGATGGACATGAAACTGTATCTCTACCGCCCAGATGGCCGTGGAGCTCAGGCGGCGGCCAAGGAGTTCGAGCGTATGGCCGAGCACCCCGTGCGGCTCGCGCCGCGAGAGCCGTCGTCGATCCCGGACGGCGCCCGAGTTGTCAAAGGGATGCACCTGAGCTCTGAAAAGAACTGGGAGCAGCCACGTGCACTTCACGAGTGCAGGGCCCGCTCTGTAGCCGTGGGTAGCGTCTTGTTCGACAAGCGTATGAAAGTAGTGCGTGCGCCATCGGAGTCGCTCTGGGCGCCCGTGGCCAGCCTCGCGATCCTTTGCCATGGGTCACGAGACGGAGACCATCGACCTTCTTAGTGCAATCTTCGGGTACATCTTGGAGGGGAAGAAGACTATTGCATCGTCATTTCCGCTGAGGTGATCGAAATCCTCCCGCTACACGTCCAACAGCAGTTCCGTTCTTCGAAGATGCCTGTGTGTAGGTTGGTCCGCGCATTGTATTATCTTCAGCGCTCTGATTCGGATTTGATTGCCGCCTGCCCCCAGTGGCTGTTGTGGAAGAGGTGGCAATCCATGGAGGAGGAGCCGGCTGTTCTCAACCTCTGGCACGGGGGCTCTGACCGCGAGGCCATGCAGCACGCTGCCAAAACTGAAGGTGGTGATCGATGCCGAGCGCGGTGCTGGCAGGAATCCATTCTGACAGTTCACAGCCAAACCGCTCGTCATGGCATGACGTTTCCCAGTTCTTCGAATCGACGCAGCGCCGCGTGCGACGGAATTCCCAACGGTGCAGCACTATGGCAACATACGTAGACGACTGCGAACTGAGCGCTGGGAGGCGCCGCCGTTTCCGCGTCTGGGACGTCATCCGGGTAGCTTTTGACAGAGAAGTTCCAGAGGTGGTCCGCAAGTTCCTTGGCTGCTCGTGTAGCGTACCGCGCCAGATGATTCTTGGAGATGGCCGCGCAGGAGTCGCCGTCATCTTGTCCCGGTCGGAGTGCTGCCAGAGGATCGCCAGAGACCGCGAGGCGATTGTCGGCTATAGCGTGCGACCCGCCACAACGCCAGCGCAGCAAACGACCCCCCCTCGACCAGAGGATCTGGCGCCAGCGGAGGCTGGAACAGGTCGCCGTATAATTATTGGTGAGGCCTTCTACGCAGCTCGTTGGACTAGGCCAGACTTCTCGTTTGCAGTTGGTCGTCTCGCTCGGTGTGTCGACAAATGGTGCCCTTGGGCAGAGACAGAGCTTGGCCACTTCGTCGGGTGCGTCCTCTTCTGCTCGGAGCACGGCCTCGTGATGTTACATTCCGGCGACTCTTGGGGCGACGTGGAGCTCCATGCCTGGGGCGGCGCAGATTACTCTGGACCCGAGGGCGCCGCGGGCTACTGCCTGGAACTGACTGAAGGGCTCCCAGTGCCCGCTGTCTTGGGGAGCTGCCAGACAGGACGTCGCGACAAACGACCAGTTCTGGAGAGTCGGAGGCGCCCGCCTGGGGCGAAACGGCGAGACGAGGCATCAGGCAAGCAGCCATGATCGAGTGCGCGCGTGCTGCCCCAATCTTCGCCCGGGGCCACCTCGACGACCGAGCCGTGCAGCTCGCCGTCCAGAGGGGGCGTGGCCCCGTACTAGGGCACCTCAAGAAACGCGCGAAGGTGAGCTTGCTCGTCCGTGACCAGTGCGGGATACTGCCAGACCACGCACCAGGGCCCGAGAACATCGGTGACGCATTCACGAGAGCGCCAGGCCTCAACAAATTGATGTACCTCGTCGGTCGGTTGCTCGGTATCCCTGTTACCTGGTTTCCTAGTGTTTCTAGTAAGATTGGCATGCTATGGGGGGCTGCGCCAGGCGCCTCTTCATCATCTTCGGCAGCAACGTCTGGAGAGCACGTGGAGATGTTCCCGGCGCAGAGAATGGTAGAGCGCACCGCCAGGGCCGCGATGTTGGACAGCGCGCAGTGCCTGGGGCCGCTTGCTGGGAAATTCAACAAAAACCAGCCACCTCAGGCCGACCGACGCGAGGAGCTCTTGGATCTGCAGGGCCAGCAGCCCTGGAAGGCCGACCGCCTTCAAGAGCGCATCCGGGCAGACGCGGTTGGCGCGGCCGCCAGGAGGGCAGGTGACAGTCGCGCTGCTGCGCCACGGCCGACTGGATCCGCCTG